AGAAGCAGGGAAGCTGTGAATAGCTCTGATTCACGTTACGAAAACTGGAATATGAAGCTTCATGCTTGTTCTTGGAGATTTTTAGGTGTTTTTGTAATATACAAATCCACTTTGAGGCTCTGTTATTCACCAGAAAGATCACTCAAAAAAATGTTATACGCGTTTCTTTAACAAATAAACAGTTTTCTATCGGCATAGATGCGAAGCAACGTAGCCACTCCGTGCATTGAAATAGCGCGTCGTTTGCTCGCATCCTACCAGCTTCGTCACAGGAGGGCGCCCTCGAGGTGGCGCCACCAAAACATCCCGTCGCCATCTTGTACGTATTCTTGATGTCTTCGCTGGCTGACGCTCGATGCTAAACGCGTTGTCGTGTCTATTACAGATATATAGGGATAACGCAAAAGGGATACGCAGCGCCACCAAAGACAAAATTATCTTCGCCTTCCGTCTTACTGTCTCTTACTCGTTGGTTCCGTCGGAAACTTTTCCCGTAAGCCTTTTATTTAAACATCGAAACTCTGAATAAATTGAGACCATCACACCCATTTCCTTTTACCCAAGGAAAAAACAAAAACACGCAAAAGTACAAGAAGCACTACATAAATAACGTCAAGTCATCACGTTCTCACATTCGACGAATGTACAACACGACAGCAGACGATGCGGGTGATATCCAAAACCCTAAACTCCTTCGCGTGTAAAAAAAAAAAGGAAAGAAGAAAATAGAGAAACTGCAGGGTGAAGTGGAAACGCCGCGTGAAATCGAAACGAGCGTGACGTTATTTTTTTATTCGTTATTATTATAATTTCTCGAGGCATTTAATTTTTTTTTTTTTTTTTATCAAATTTTGTTTTGTGAGGAGAAGGGAGCATGCGGGGCAGACGGGCGCGTCTCGGCATCCCCATCGCAGTAGTCATCATCGTCTTTTTCTCCGGCAGCCAATGAGGCGCCGCCAAATCACCGGAAGTAGTTGTCCGCGGTGTGTCTGTCGTCATTTATAGGGGCTCCTCCGGGTTCGTTTGTGACGGCTCAGCCCCGGGCTGAAATCGGGTGAGATAGTCTTAAAGAAAAACAACAACAACAACAATAGAATAAACAGAAGCCGAGTGAGCACGCTGTACGCAGTGGAAAAACGAGAATTAGTTGGCGGAAATCGTTGGGGAGCGAGGCGCTCGAAGACGGAAGCGGAGCCAGGAAATTAAAGCAAAAAAGGACAAAATTTCCAGAACGAATGGGAAGTGAGGTGCGTCTATGTATGTTTACGTCGCCATAGCCACTATCAACACAAGCCTGCCGACAGCGTTGTTAGCGAAATCAATTTTTGGAGCGCCGGGGAGAGCTGATAATCTTTATCGCGTTTTCTTATTAGGCCGCCGTCAACATGCCCTAATTTTCTGCTCGCAGGCTCTTTGTCAGTATTTAAACGGCGAGCGTGGCATGAAATATTTCACGTCTCATTCAAGCACCGTGATATCGGACTTAATAGTTCATGTGTCTCAAATATGAAAGATGTTTGACATACTAAAACCCAAAACGGAATCAAAAAGAAAAACAAAACAACAAAAAAAAACGCCTCCTTATATATACCGGATGTTCCATTTTAATTCGAACAGATTTATTACAAAACATTCGTAAAATATGCTCTAATACGGTTTGTGCAGGTGACTTATACGGCCAGGGAAACATTATGTGGGTGGCTAATCTTTGCGATAAGTCGGATAATTAACTAAACTTCCTTAATTAACTTTTAAATTAGCAAAAATATTAATAGTTGCAATTAGAAACATGCTGGGCATAATCGAAAACCACTAAATCAACTCTGTTTAGAACGACTTGAAGTTCGTGGGAAACTCGTGAAGCAGGCGCAAAGCTAGCAGTGGCGGAACGCGATGATAATCTAATCATCACGGCTGCTGTGTCTGCGCACCTTAATTTTGCCTATATATAAATATATGACGGTTGGGTAATAAAGTTTTGAAGTCTTAAGTTTTTAAGTTGTTTTCTGGCGATGTTTTCATTTAAATGTATACTATATGGGCTGTTTCATTTGGATTCAGGCAGCGAGGTGCAGTCGTATTTCTTATTTTGCCTCAAATTCTTATATTTCGTGGCGCATGTTCTAAGAACAATCCTTTTTATTTTAACGTCCTGACGTGTTTATTTTTTTAGAAAAAAAAATCTCAAAGAAGCGGGAAAGAACAACGAGGTTTTGACGATTGTCGTGGGTGGCGTTTTTGAATTACTCTCAATCTCACAGTATTCAAAAGAGAGCTTCTATATATATTTTTTTTTTAATTGTGATAGATATGCAAGCAAGAAAAACGACATTCCAACTACTATCTATTATTCGCCGCTCCAATCTTTGTAAGAATCCCCAAACATGCCTCCGCGAACAACTGTGACCTACACTGCGGATTTTTTTTTTGTTTTTTTAGTCGGCTATGTTTAGTATTGCTTTTAAAATATTACCGCGCGTTGAACCTTTTTTTGCCTTCCACATTATGCAGAGTTCGTATCTTAATCATGTACGAGTACTGAGAAATCAATTATGAAACATAGAAGGTTTTCACTTGTTGTTCAAGCCGCTGTCTTTTTGTCTTGTTTGTGCACGCTGTATTAAAAAAAAATATATTTTTTTTTTTCTTGCGTAGCGTTTTTTTTCACACCTTTCTTTTAGCCAGCATACATTTCGTTAGAAGTATATGCACTAGTATTGAGTTTTAAGCCTCTAAATATGCTAAGAAAGAGCAAATGTCGTTGGTGGGTTTATGGGTTATAGCTGTATATTTTATTCTTTATTATAAGAATCTAAGAAACGTTTAATAAATAATCTTATAGACATTGATGTCATTAAGCGTATAATAACAAGTTTGCAATTCCAAACGTCTAAACACTATAAAATCGCAACTGCCGAAAGCGGGTTTTCAGACTATTTTCGCCGGTGCCATGACTGAAGAGGCCTCAAGTTTAAACCCTATGCGCTACATAATCTGTACTATGTTAGAAACGTCAAAATATAATATTATCAAACATTAGAGTAAAATACACTTCCTATTGGATGCCTAAATTTTTAAATGCGAAATTTTATATTGTAATTGCGAAATTCACGTTGATAACAAACCAGAATCATTTTTATTTATTTTTGTCGCCTTTTATTTCTTTACGTTTTGATTTTACTCTGCAAACAACTGGTGGGTTCTAATATAATTTATCTGTAGCTTCGTGCCTTTACAGATGTTAGAAGACCAGGCACGTAGCCAGGGGGGAGGCCCATGGGGCCCGGCCCTCCCCCCCCCCCCCCCCCCCCCCACCCCCGAAACCTTTCATTTGCTGGAACCTCCTCTCCCCCCTCCCCCTCATACATAATTTTGTCATGGGCGGGCGTCACCCCCCCCCCCCCCCCCCCCCCCCCCGAACCGAAATCCTGGCTACCTGTCTGTGGAAGACAGTACCTTCGGACTGCGGGTTTATGACGAGTACAATGTGTGTGAGTCATGTTCGTGGCAGTCAGTTGTTGTGGCAACAATACTCCCAGGAATAATTTAGGAACACAACGAGGGCGATATTCACATCGAACAGCCCTCTAAACAGTTTGTATATATAGCAATGTTTATTTGTTTCTTTTTCTTTGTTTTCTTCGCGAAACTGCCAGTCATCTGACCAGGCACTGAGCGGCAAAGTTGAGAGGACAACTCAATCAAGGGCCAAAGATCGATGATGACGAAAAACCTCTTATATAGAGGAGGTTTTTTTTTTTTTGGTTTTTTTAGAGGCTTTTTTGGAAGTTTTTTTATATGTGTTTAGAGTTTTTTTTTATTTTTTGTGCGCTTTACAATGTTGTTTTAAAAAAGCCGTGAAAGTTGGACTTATGCAGTTTGTGCAGGTGAGTTATACGGTCAGGAGGACATAGTATAGGGGGCTAATCACAACGATCAGTGGGCTAATTAATTAAAATGCGTTAATTAACTTTTTAGTTTGTGAAAATAGACATATGGTTCCAATTAGAAACTTGCTCAGCGTCATCGAAAACTACTAAATCATTCGTTTTCAGAAAGACTTTGAGCGCGTGAGAAGCGTAGTAGTGCATTAAAGTTACCACTCGTGGAGCAGGTACAAGGCTAGCGGTTCCGGAACGCGATGATAATCTTATCATCCGCGTTTTGCCACTGCTAGCTTTGCGCCTACTTCACGAGTGGCAACTTTGGCGCGCCCCCGAGTTTCCCACGAGCTTCAACTCGCTCTAGAAGAGTTGATTTAATGGTTCTCGATGGCGCTAACTAAGTTTCTAATTGGAACCATATGCCAATTTTCACTAATTAAAACGTTAATTAACAAAGTTTAATAAATTAAACGACTTATCGCGAAGATTAGCCACCCACAGTATGTCCCCCTGGCCGTATAACTCACCTGTACAAACCGCACAAGTGTAACTTTCACGGATTTCTTTAAAACAAATCTGTAAATATAAAAAAAAAAAACAAAAAAACTATGGAAACACTCGCTGCCTAGTGATGATAAACTACTGGAAGCAACAGCTTCTGTCGTCATTACGGAACATGTCATGCAAAAATTTAAACGAAATCTCATGCTAGAAAAGCGACGTCTCCTGTAACAGTGGCTCTACCTTGCGAAGGTAAAATTTAGGTGAAGCCACCTTTCGGGCATGGCAAATTTCGTCGCCAAATTGTTTTATCGACTTCTTTTTTTTCTTTTTTCTTTTTTAATTTATGACGATGATTGTACGGATAATTCAGCGTCATTAGTGTCCTTCTACATTTGATCTTCTGTCTCAAACTAGAATTTAAAAAAGTTAAAAAATTACTTTTTTTTTTTTTTTTTCAAACGATTGTTTTATGTTAAATCGGTATCGTTCCCTTGGTGATAGCATTCTGGTTTCTTTTTCTATTGCCAATTTTTAGTTCAGTTTCAATTTTTATTCATTTCTAATTATTCTAAACGTTTCTTTTTTCTTTTTTTATTATTATTGTCTTTGCAGGTCCCATTCATCATGCCCCAGCGCAGATACCGCAGTTTCCGCCGGTGTTTCCTCACTTCCCTGGTTTGGGAGGAAGGTAAGTCAAATACATTTCAAGGTGGTACAGATTCTAACTCACACCACTTAAACAATCCAACTAAGCTACCACGTTACTCGATTACGCGGGTTTGAGCCGCGTCGCGCTCGCTCTTACACCAATAAAAGCCGCAACACAGTTTTAGTAGATCGTTCGCGCATTGACCGCCTGCCACGCGAACCTCCGCAAAATAAACCAAACTCCACAACTTTTTTTTGCGAGTTTTTTTTTTTTTTTTTTGACGAATAGAAGAGCGGATGACGAAGGAAAAGAAATAAAAGGAGTAAATACAAAATAAACTAAAATAGCGCAAAAAAAAAAAAAAAACTGTTTGGCCTGGTGCAGTAAGCGACGCGCCCACCAGATGGCAGCACCTCCCGTCGGTGCAGCGCAGCGCAGCTGTTCCGTTCTGTTTAGCTGGGAGCGGTTCCACCAGATCGCGCAGTAGCAGCAGCTAGAGGGAGAATGCTTCTGTGGGGCTTCCCAGAAACAAGGGAAAGAAAGAAAGGAGCTAAAGGTAGATAGGGAGGAAAGGAAGGGAGAGGAGAAAACAAAAAGAAAAAAAAAGACGAAGGGAATCAACGGTCGCATAGCGGGCGGCGTGATCCGAAGAAAGAGTCCGGGACGAAACCGGGGCAGTGGTGGAGTCGTCGTGGTCGTGTCGTGTGTGGCGGCGGAGAACGCTATGGCTGCCGAACGGGCGGTGCCTTCACGAGATCGTGTCGGATTTGTCGTGTTTGTGTCGCTGCTTTGCTACGCCCAAGTCGACTCGGCTCCGCGAAACGACACGACAACCGCTTCGGAGAATGCGACTTTCAGGTAAAAAACCCCAAAGGCCCGTGGACGGTGTTTTGAAATTGAGAGGAGTGCGGTCGGCTGTGCTCGACGTCGAAAGCGATCGTATATATTTTCGTTCGGTTACGATGAAATTAGAGTTTTTTTTTGTTGTTGTTGTTGGGTTCGCGTTGGAGTTTGTGTTGCGATTTTTGTATCGTTTTGCTGGATGGATGGATGCGCTCGGTGTTGATGTTGATTGTGGTTATGAATGATTGCGGGATATGGATTTTTTTAGGGAGGTTTTTTGGGATGATGATGGCCTGCCTGTTGATTTAGCGAGGTTGGCCGCTGCTCTCTGCGCGTTGATCTGGTACATCTGACGACTTCGTGCTCATTTTTTTACGAGTTTTGAGAAGTGCCTATTCGCTTAGTCTGTCAGACTGTCTGAGCTGTTACGTGTGAGAGCTTCTAATTGACTCGTTCCAAATCGCAAGATTTCGTATTCCACTGAACGCAAAGGAAAAAAAAAAGGTAAACAAACGTTTTTCTGTGTTTAGTTGAATCAAACGAGTGGTACACGATAGCACGTTCAAATCCAAACACGCACACGCGTAAAGTTAAAAAAAAACAAAAAAAAAACAGCCTTTTTGTTTACAAGGGCGTGGTTATGAGCAGGCCACGCGCGCGCGCTTAAAAAGTAAACAAAGAAATAAAATGTCCGGAACATAAATAATCGACAAAGAGGGGGGATGGGTGAAATCCTATAGCGGCTTTTGACGATTAATCCCGGTTTAAGAGAGGTTATAAACGACTTTTGCGAACAACGAACAAGCCACCCCCGGAAGTGGACACCTCCTTTCCCGCAACTGTTCACGTATCCTTTTTTTTTTTTTTTTTTTTTTTTTTCATTCTGTTTCTTAGAGGAGAGTTCTTTATCACGCTGTGTCTCCCGGCATCTGCTCGCGACGTTTTCCGAAAGACCACCGCCACGGAGCAACAGCTGGTGGAGCAGATTAGAGAGGGGGTTGAAGCGAACAGAACGAGATAAAACTAAATAAAACGAGGAGCAAGCCACAAATTGTTAAAAAGAAAAAAAAAAGATACGAGCCACGATTTTCGCCCCACATGGCCGGGCGGGCGGCCGGGCCCGAAGAAACAGTGCCCTCTCCTCTCTTTTTAGTGGCGTTTTCCCCCTCGCCCTCGAACCACCCCCTGCCCCTAATATGGGCTCGTTGGAACAAAGAGCCCAGTTGGAGCTGCTCGTGTGCGATCTGGTCGGGAGAAGGCGTTTTTTCCCCTCGGCAACAGGACAGGAATTCTGTCAGGAGCAAACGACAGATATTAAATTATTGGTCCTGTTTAATGCATAGTTTTGTTGGTTCTGTAGATGTTAAAAGCTGGTAAAAACGTTTTTTCTCTTAGATGTTTAAAAGTTCATTTTAATAGGAAAACGATTGATGTCTTGGTTTAATTAAAATGTGTATTTCCACTGCCACTTATTATCATAGATCCAGAGCATCACTGTAAAATATTAAAGGTATGAAAATGCACATGCCAATAAATGTGACGATGCATTGCCTGAACAAAACTGGTTCAATGATTCTACATGTGCATTCATTCCTTGGGCAAACTACTAAACAACAGATCAACAAATGGAATGTGGAGATGAATTAAGGGGGCCCTGCAATCATATTTAAGCATCTACCTTTTTTGCGGTTTCCATGTCTCTTGGGGTTCGGGCAAGCCAGCGGGCACGGAGAGAGTAACTAAATATCAGTGAGTCATATTTTAACCGGACGACGCAGAAACCTCCTCTGCCTACGAGGGTGACCCGCATAGCCGAAAGTGCGCAATATGTGACGTCTTTGGTCCTGGGCTTACTACTGGTCAGAGCCGCTAAAAGCTTTTTTTTAGTCGAAATACAAAATATAACTGTGGGGAACCGTTTCGATTATGTATGAAAGTAATTTTTGTTCGTTATTTTAGATCAGAAAAGAAACAAATGCAGTTTATAAAGAATGGAAATAAGGAAAGACCCGGCGACAAACCCACCACCAAGCGGCGGAAAAAATGGCGCATACTAGAAAGGGCCTAGTGGGATGAGGCTACAACGAGCGTAGAAAGGTCCCAAATGTATGCGGCGGCACTGCGGTCGTATACCGGCTCGAGGATCCGACCGGTTCCAAGCGTTTGGATGGCTTTCGGCGCGGGCTTGGCTGGCGATTTGGTTATTTGGCGGTATGGCAGCGCGAAGTGGCTCCCGTTCTGAACTGATCTTTACATCGTGTTTGCTGTCATTTGCGGCCAATGAAGTGTTACGTCGAATTAGTCTTCAATCAACCAGCAAATGAGATGTGAGCTGCCCTGGCCGCCCGCTTCATACAGCCTATCCAGCACGTGCTTTAGTGGCGCCCTCTCGAGCCGCCAACACGGAGTGCGGCAGCCGTGAGTGCTCAATGAGCTCACTACCCCTCCTCTGGTTCACGGCCACTCAAGCCAGGACCTATGACGTCATGAAGGAGGTTATTTTTTGCTTGTTTTTGTAATTCTAATTTGCCTATAACTTTTAAAATAAAGCGAAATTTGATAAAAGAAAAGTTTTTTTAAGTTGCTACGTTCAGTGCACTCGGGTTCGGTCCAAATTAAAAACCAGTCAAAAAGTTGTTGCAGGGCCCCTTTAAGGATTGCAGAAGTGACTGTCTAGCAACCATGAGCATTTTCCACAAGCAAAGAGATTTGTCCTTTTGTCGTTGTCCAATCGGAAATATGTTGGCAAACTAATTCCTCGGAATAAACGTGGGTATGTCGAATAAACGACATTGGAGTCAGAGGTCTGACACACGCAGCAACAAAAAGGTAACAGTACAGCGTAGGTATAATAATTTAAAAATGTATCGACATAAGAGTAAATTGGCAGGCATGCTTCAACCATCTTAAAACCCAACACTTCTGGTTTGGTTCGCGTGCTTGTGTCCTTGGCAGTGAAAAGGACACAAGCTGCATCCTCACCATTGTTTGTTCTCCAGGCCATTCTCTTAAAGTCTCGGATTTTATAACAAATGGGTAAAGGGATAAAAGTTGCATTCATTGCATTTTCACGGCCGCAAAACATCTATCCATTAGTAAAATATGGTGGCAACATAGTTGTAGCATAGCAGCAACTCAGTCATAGTACAGCAACTCAGTTGTAGCAGAGAAGCAATGCAATTGTAGCATATAGCAGCCGCATATTCTTTCCACTCATGCAGCCAAGCAAGCACGGGGGGCAACGAGCTGCCCATTGTGGGGCCCCCTCCTCCCCTGCCCCCAATCTCGGGCGGCGGCGGTGGGAGCTGCCAGATCTACCAGGGCATCACGTGCGGCCAGTACCTGGGCAACCGCAGTGTCTTCGTGCGCCCACCACCAGCCACCATGGCCGCCATGGAGGAGAAACTGGCGGCGGCTTTCACGGTCATTGCCACCTCTCAGGTACGGGATTTGCCATCCCTGGCTTGCAATGGCTGGACTTGCATCATTTATCACTGCGATGTTAACAATCGGAAAGCTCTATTTTTTTCGGCCCTAGCAATTATTTGCTGGGGCCAAAAAAAATAGACCTTTCCAATTGTTAACATCGCAGTGATAAATGGTGCAAGTCCAGCTATTGCGGGCCAAGGATGGTTAATGCAGTGTACCGTGACTGAAGGGGTACCCTATCAACATACATTCAACCTCTTTGTGTGATAGGTGCACTGATCTAGCTTACCGTGGCTCGAAGTGTAATCTTGTTAAAGGGATTGGGACAAGGTGTTTGTGCCATGCACAAATTGGCACAAAAGCAAGCATTGAGAAGTTAACGTTGAAGCTTGATATAAAACAACTACTAACTATATAGACGACCTATGAGGACCGGCTGTTTTTGCTAATTTCCCCTTTTAGTATTTTTAGTTACGTTGAATGACAACCTGGAACTTGGAATATTTGCAAATTAATGACTCATCTGGGGCACATTTGAATTATTAAGAGTAATAAAGGGAGCCATATTACATTGAGCTCCGTTGCAAAATGCTGGCCTACAGATCCTTAGTTGGCGGGTCTGAATCTCATTCGAGGTGCCTGCAATCTGACGGAAGCTTATTGCAGAGAAGGCGCCGTGGTAACTGTGATTTCGGCTGCCCGTCGGGGGGACCCTGGGTGTTCTGAATGAATCCTCAGTCCTCTGCTGGGACATGCTAGATGTCCTTCGTTGGTTTGGCACGTGAAACCCCCAAAGTTGACTTCGATAGATACAAGGACACTCGCAAAGCTTTCTTCACAAAGTCGTGTAGCGGCCATTCATGAATAGGTCAAGTTTGAACATTGCACCGGGGTGCGGTCGTGTGGAACTACTGCACGGCAGTGGCATAGCCATGGGATGTCAGCCCCCCCCCCCCAAATCCAGCCGACCCTATAATATACACATGCCTTTTGATCCCCTCTCCCCCCTCCGCACCCCAAGTCATGGACATCCTAGCCACCTCAGCGCCCCACCCCCCGCTTCACTCCCCCACTCCTTCCCTCCCCCCCTCCACCCCAAAAAACATTCCTGGCAATGCCACTGCTGCACGGTACACATTAAAACCCCAGGCTAGCAGTGGTACTGCACACGCTGAATATCTCATTTCCAATGGAGATACTAGACGCCTATTGGGGTTGACAAACTTCGCTCTGTCTACACAAACGCACAACACAATGGACCAGTAACCTTCCGCTCATGCGTAAACCCTCCCCCCTGGCCTTGCTTGTTGCCATTTCCAAAGATATGGTGCTGACGATGTTGGCCGTGCAGGACGACGCCTTGCTTGCCGCGAGGGCGTCGTCCTGCACGGCCAACATCGTCAGCACCATATCGTTGCTCATATTCCATCCGTTTTATGCGAAACTTTCCTTGGCTAGGTGTTTGACCTTTCGTGAAGCCCGGATAAAAGCGTGGCCTTGAGGCTCGACACTGATTGGTTGACAAGTGGGGGAGGAGTGAGGTTCTCAACGCCGATTGGTTAGTGTGTACGTCATGTGACTAAACAGGGGGGCCAGGAACTCTACCACCTGTGCGCACTAGGGAAAAGGAGTTCGAGAGTATAGAAGGCTCTGAAAGATCGCCAGGGTTATCAGCTCGATTAGCGGTAGTATCGCTTTATTCTAGGAACTATCGAGTGTACAAAAGGTATGTGTTAAAACTATCCGATCGCTACCGCCATCTATGAGCGACGGTGGCAACCGGTTGTCTGGTTGCCGCCGTCGCTAATAGATGGTGGCAGCCTTTCAAGCCTTTCCACTCTGGCTTGCCATCTTGCAGCCATTCATTACTTCATTCCCACCATAGTACAGCTTCGCTGGTCTTCCTCCTTCGCCAGAGTGGAAAGGCTGTTTGAGCATCAGTAGTATGGAGGATAAAAAAATGAAAGACATTTACAAATCGCTGTAACATAAAACACAGCTTTTGAGGAGGAGGAGGGAAGGGTATGTCCCTCCTTCTTTTCTGCATCTCCCCTCCTTCCAGACTTTTGTCCCCGCTATATTTAGCTGAAAAATTGGCACCACGTGTTCTCAACACGAATTCAGTTTCCCCGCTAAACGTAGGAGGGAAAATGACGTCACACGAGTTTGTGTCACGTCACCTGTGAACGAATTCAGTTTTTCCGCTGGATTTAGTGGTAAAACTGACGTCCCGTGAACTCAACATCATTTCGATTCCCCACTAAATTTAGCGGGAAACTGAATTGGTATCGAGGTCATGCGACGTCAGTTTTATCGCTAAATTTAGCTGGGAAACTGAATGCACAGTGTTGCATTATGGGACGTCACAGACGTGCACATCAATTCAGTTTCTTCACGAGATTTAGCGGGGAATTAAGTTGATGTATAGGTTTGTGGCATCCCATAATGCAATGCACACGGTTACGTTGGCGCCGTTATACGCGGAAGCAGGTGCCCAAGAGCTGCACTCTAAAAGTGATGCAAACCGATACAACGGTGCAACGCCAGTGCATTGGACGGGCGGAGGCACGTTTGGCTGCCCTTCATTTTTGGTTCACAAACCAACCCCTAGACGGTGCTCACCACCGGGAAAAGGTTCCTTACTTTCATTGGGGAACCTTGGCACAACGTCCCGCCTCCCTCTCCCAGGACGTATCGCCCCAGTGCCACAAGTATGCCATCCCGTCGCTGTGCTTCTTCGCATTCCCGCCCTGCGAGCCCGGCGCGCCCGGCGGCAGGGCGCCCGAGCCGCGCTCCGTGTGCCGGGACGAGTGCGAGCTGCTGGAGCACAGCCTGTGCCGCATGGAGTACTCCATCGCCAAGCGCCACCCACTCATCGGTCAGCAGAAGATCCTGCCCGTCTGCGAGGAGCTGGCACCCGTCGGCTCACCCGAGAGCGAGTCCTGCTTGAGGCTCGGTGTGCCCCACAGGGAGGCCGAGGACGTCAACAAAGGTGGGCGCGGCCACTACTTTTTCGGTCGAATCTGTAGACCAGGGGTTCTCAAACTGTTGGTCTCACGGAACCCCAGGAAGCCTCAAAAACAGCCACGGAACACTGCTCCTCCCCCCCCCCCCTCCTCTATATTTGCCGACCGACAAGCAACAGATGCACAATTGTAGGCAGTTTTGCTTGCGTTGCTTCCCATATATCCCCACCATATCAATCGCGATGTCCATACAAAGTGAGATGAAGGCGCTTTGCATGGTCCTGCCGCGCAGCCTGTGGCGGTGTGGCGGGGGAGGGGGGGGGGGGGGGGGGATTGGAGGGAGGAGAAATGGCAATTGGGGTGTTCGCGGAACCCATGAGACCAGCTCGTGGAACCCCTGTGTTCCCCGGAACCTAGTTTGAAAACCCCTGCTGTAGACTAACGTTTGCCTGCTCCGGGCGTGGGCGCCGAAACCGGATTTGGGAGTGTTGAAGCGACTCTTCCGCCAGCGATGCCATCGTGCGACGTCGGAGCCACGCGTTGGTGTACGCTCGGCGTCGACGATTTTGCGCTAGGTTTTGCCGAGGCTTGCGTCTTGTTCCCAAGCACTCGCGCAAGTAGCTTTGTCAGCCTCGGAGCACTGCGAAGACTATGCTAGCCTCGACATATGGATATGTGCGGCATGTAATCTAACGCTTCTGAGGCATTTTAGACGGTGGGCAAAAATCGGTTTCTTGGCGTACTGCGCTGCAATTTACTATGGAGGTACAAACGGGTGGTGGAAGTTTCCGCTAAAAGCAAAAACTATCAACAGAAGACAAAAAAAATCAGAAACCTGTTTTGGGCAATCTGCGCAGTCACTTCGCAGACGATGCATGCATAGGCAGAAATGCCACCGATAGATGGTGTACGCCTCGCAATAGGGTGACCGCCTGTCCCGTGACTTGCAGGACTGTCCTGCATGGAAGGCAAAATTTTCAAATTGTTCCATATTTCACACCGTAGTGTAAAACTTACTATGCAACTCATAGCACTGCCGAACAGCGGGGCACGGGGAAGTGCGGAGGCTGCGTGTAATCGTGTGAATAGCGACATAGTGCCATTTTCTATCCAAGCATTGCGGGAAGCGACCGTCGTCCTTGCAGCAGATCCGACACGCATTCGCCGTTGTACCTCTCCCCTTGGTGGCAAAATATTTCGAGAAAAAATTGCTCGCCAAAAGATGAAAAATTAATTATCATGATTATTTTCAAATTATGCCGTGTCAATAAAGGGTTGCCGTGGAAAGATTTTTTTTAGTGAAGATGGCCGCACAAAGCAAGAAGTCTGCAACTCATACTGGTAGAAAAAAACTTGAGGTTCTAAATTTGCATAGGAGCATGTAAGTAGAAGTAAGCATTGACAGGAAACAATTAGGCAAAAAAGGACTTACAGTTTCTTCTTTCCTTTTGATGTATCGGGTTCTGCTGCTGTAGATTTTTATGTTTTCATTTTAAACACTCCTAATTACTTGTTTAACATTAAAATGGAAAAAAAAAAAAAAGAAAAGATCATTGAGAGTGAAAATTATTTAGGCTTCATTGCCGCAATACAACTGGCCCATGTATAACATGCATTCGGATAGCACAAGATATTAAATGTGTTAGCAGAGCTACATTTCGTGTTGCGAATGTTGATCAATTTCCTCTAATAGTTCCTTTCTGCTACCGCAGTCGCAATAATATCATCATTCCCTTACATACCCCTCCCCCCTCCCACCCCTCTAGTCAGCGTGTCCCACATTTCACTAGCAGGAAGATGGTCACTCTGCGCGTTTAGGGAGTGCCGGCTGGTAAGGATTATAATAGCAGACGATCCCGCAAAAGAACCCGAATCAGAACAGGTTTCTGTTTCTTTTTCCTTTTGAACGAGGCAAGTTTATTTCTTGATTTTTTTTCCACTGTAGGCTTCCACCACCTTCTTGCACCTCTCTAGTGAATTGCAGTGCAACACGTTGAGAAACCAAATTTTGCGGGCTGTCTAAAGTACCTTACAAGCATTAGTTTACATGCTTCAGTTAGAGAAAAACATTTGGGTTGCAGTAATACTACAACGGGAGGTATTAGTAGGTCGTGGGAGGACCATCCGCAGCAAGCAGACAGTTATACAAAAAAAGAATATATGAATTTGTCTTAGATACGATAAAAGACCCCATGGATGTCCTGCAATCCTGCAATCCTGCAATCCTGCAAAAGAAGCAAGAGCAACTTGCCTTCCTTGTGGTGGAAACATTTTACTCGAAAGCAGCTCAATGTTTGTCATCATATGGAGCAGATCGGTAGCAGGATACAGAGAAAACTAAAAGCTTTGCACAATTAAGGTTGAACATGGCCTGGGTGGGTTAAAGGGCATCTCCGCCGTAATTTTGATGGTCACCGATTTCTATAAAATTTTCACCATGTATTTGGATGCCCTTCCTGAGCATGTGTACGAAATATCTCGGAAAAATATTAATTTTCTTAGAAGAAAATGAATTTTGAAATTTACATGTCCACACCCAAATCACTTGCTACCGCCCTACTGGCAACACTGAGGAAAAGCGGCACACAGAGGCTGCCATGATGGCACTGACGTTGCCGTGACGTCACATGTTGGTCAGTGTGCTTGCTTTGGAGCTTGTTGGTGCTAGGACTGTCTGGTTTTTGCTTATTTTATCGGTTCATACAGCACACGCGAGCGCGATGATGAAATGCACGTTCACGAAGCCGAAGCTATACATGCGCGAATGATGTCTCAAACGACGCTTTTACAGCGCGAGAATGGAAATTGAGGTTACGAGGCCCTAATGATCTTCCGTCCCCGCGCTCGTGCCTTCTGTCCATGGGGAGTTTTAGTAGATAGTTATCAGAGGCCCGCTACCCCTCTGGGCGCGCGCTAGAGCATGCTTGGAAGTGGCGGCGCGATCTCGCGCTACGCAAGCGTCGCTTGAAAACACGGTCTTACCAAAACCATCTATTGTCAGACCCCAAGATATAACAAAAAGTGCCTCCAATTAAAAGGCATAACGTCGATCAGTTTATCTTGGCGTGCTAGCAACAAAAACTGCCTTACCATTCCGCTTCGGAAGCGGCATCTGGGTCCACATGGCGGCAGATCCCGAATGCAGCCGCCGCTGGCGCTTCCCTCGGAGGCGATGCCGATGGATCGTATGAAAACGGGTTATCGTCATCGTCCTCAAAATCTAGTCGCATATCCTCATCGTTGCTCGATTCAAACGCGCTTGATGAGTCCATTTTCATCCGCGGCACGAACACAAAACAGTGACCTGCTGCCAGGCTGGCCAGGCTCAAACTGCACACGTGCGAGTGTTTATACCATATGTGACGTCACATCAAAATGGCGGACCAGTCGAGTGGCAAGTTAGTTTCGGTTTCGGTTTCAGCGTATTTTAACAATTATAAATTATGTAAACAGTTTTTTAATGATTTAACCGCTGCTATAGGCAAAATTTTTAGTACCCTTTCCGAAAATATGTTTCGATAAAAACGCTCAAATTGACGGCGGAGCTGCCCTTTAAGCAGTTTAATAAAGAAATGTTCACGTGATACAATATGGTGCACAACAATCCGCGCAACGATTTCTGTAGCAATTTGTTTTTTCTTCCGCCGACGCCAGAGGAGACTTGCTACGTCCACGGCGGTGAGGACTACCGGGGCACGGTGGCAGAGACGATCTCGGGCCTGCCCTGCCAGCTGTGGACCCACCAGATACTGTTCTCGCGCATCGCCGAGTACCCGGAGATTGTGGGGGGCCACAACTACTGCCGCAACCCCGGCGGCATGGACGTCCAGCCCTGGTGCTTCACCTCCGGACCCGTGGTCAAGAAGGAAGTGTGCAACATCCCAAAGTGTGGTGAGAACGCACCTCCGTCCGCTTCGTTAACACGGGCAGAGGCATTACGCATTTTGGGGTTACGTTTCTCAACTCTAAGTTCGGTGTTCTCAAACTTCCCCCATCAAGAGACGCTCTCTCGATTGACAGCTCGGAGACTCCTCCCGGTCTCGGCTTAGACTGCCAGGCACTGTGTATGTCTGATTCGCTCGAGAACGCTGGAGAGCGAACCTGCTGCCGCAGCTTTCCGTTCTAGTCGCTAGGTGCCGTCGGTTTCGCCGGAGTCTCTCGTTGTGGAGTTGGAACTTTGCCGTCAATTGCGTTAGCCCTATCCGTCGGGGCCCCCACATTTCGTGTCACTTCACCGCTTTCCCTCCGCTCTTGCTGCACGTTCCAGTGGACTACTTGTGGCTGTACATACTGCTGCCGAGCATCGCGACCATGGCCCTGGTGGGGCTCCTGCTGGCCATCGCCTGCTTCCGGCGGCGGGGCAAGCCGTCCCCCAACCTCCCCCCGACCAAGGGGCCCAAGGGGGTCGCGCTCAGGGGGCCCCCGCAGCAGAACAACATGGAGCTCAACCGGCTGCTGCCGCGCGCCACCAGGGCCCCCGAAGTGCCGTCCCCGCGAGTGCGCTTCCTCCAGGAGCTGGGAGAGGGCGCCTTCGGGAAGGTTTACCGAGGGGAGCTGCTTCCAGTGAAGCGAGACTGCAGCCTCCCGATACAGGTCGCCATCAAGACCCTCAAGGTTCGTTGCCCCAGGCTCGGGGTCTCCAGGTTTGGGGCCAGGGGCATGTATACTGCGATTCTCGTCAACTACTGCGAAAGTGCACTAAGAACTGGAGGCAAAGCAAAACAAATAGCTAATCTGTTTGTGTTCGTACGGCGCAAGGTCAGTCTACCTTTGAAGTGTGCCAAACACTGGTTTAGAGTGTAGATGATAGGTGGCGCAAGCTACCACCTGTAATAAAAGGTACAGCCGTTATTATTCATCCATTACATCCTGGTGTATTTAATGTGCATCACGTAGTAGTGGCATGCAGGATTGAGTCCAGAAATCCTGGGTTCAATCCCTACCCTTCCCATTTCGATCGGGATGAGCGTCGTAGCGGCGCTTATCCAGATCACTTGTACTTTTAATGCAGAATACCTTATATGGCTGGCACCTAACCATATCCGGTGAGGTGCCAGCAACAGAAGTCAACGGGCCGACTGCCAGTCGAACGCTGACGTAGTGCTCGTCTCCTCACCAGTGCCAGCCAAACCTCGTCCCCAAATCAGTGGCGGATCCAGGGGGGGGACAGGTCTGCTCCGCACCATCCAGTCTCCTCATGTGCACATAGTTTCTCCACACCAATACACCACATCCTGTGTTACCACTGCCTTTGCCATTAGTGCAGCAAAGGGGCGACTTTCTACGAGTGCATTTGGGGAAAATGGTCTCTCGCGGACAGATTGAGGTACAACAGCCCCCCATGCTTCTTTGGCATTCTTGCCAGTATTTTGAAGAGTTTGGTCGCAACTAGATGGAAGTCCAAGCTTAGGTCCCCCTGTTTGAACTCTCGATAAGTCGAGACATAGCGCAGCTTGTGTGGGGACCGCAGGCACAGAAAACGGACTAAATCGAAGGCTGCAGCTCGCATTGTCTGGGAGGACACCTGTATCTAAATTGGAGCACATAGTACCGCGTCTCCGGGAGGCGAAGTCGGGAGGCACGTAGGCCGATTCTTTGTGCGTGGGCTCGCAGGAGAATGCAGCCATGAAGACTCAGCAGGACTTTCAGCGGGAGGCGGAGCTGATGAGCGACCTGCAGCACCCCAACATAGTCTGCCTGCTGGGCGTGTGCACAAAGGAGGAGCCCCTGTGCATGCTCTTCGAGTACATGCCCCACGGGGACCTCCACGAGTTCCTTGTGCAGCACTCTCCTCGCTGCGAGGGCACTACGCAAGTGCTCGACCTGGCCGACTTCCTGCACATCTCCCGGCAGGCCAGTCAATCAATCAATGCTTTTTTTGTTAGGGCCAATGCATATGACTGGTTGCTAGTGTTGGGTAAAGTACATCCAAAATGTACTTGGAAGTACAAAGTAAATGAGAGGTTATGTAGTTCAAGTAAAGCAGTAGGTACACCAGGTGCAATGTAGTTGTAGTGAGGCATATATGGGTAAAATTACTTCCAAAATGTAATGTAATTGCCATTACTTTGCACCAGAAGTAGTTTAACTATAATTATATCTATGTGAAATTTAAAGTAATTACCTACAATTGCAAAATACTTTTAAAAAGTAATGCAATTACTAAGCAATAGCTTATTGCTAGGAGCAACCCAACTTGGGCCATACAACTTTAAGCAAGTTGTTTGGTATGCAACATATTTGTTCATTCCTTGCCCCAATGCTTGAGGAGGCTTAAGCATCGTTGCATAAATGCCACGTATTGCACTTTCCTTTTGTGAATTTTTGTTAAAATAATTATAGAACTCCACAGTTTGCAGTAATGAAGTCTTACGTTCTTATATTTTCAATAAATAATAATAAATTTGTTCATTCCCTCGAAGACTCCAGATCGTTGAAGTAAAATTGGGTTGGCACACTGTTGTTAGTCAGGCAAAAAATGCGACAGTTAGTCTTATTTGAATGTTTTATTAGTGTTAATGTAAAACTCGTTTCATGTTACTGTAAATTATTTACATTGAGTTGAAAACATAACGGCTCAGAAATATATAAGAACCAAATCGGGGCGCCCGATTCAATGGTGACAATATTCACAGGTGCGAGGCCAGTCTCCAAAATGCTTATGCAAATAGTATCCGAAGTAAAACCAACAGGAAATAAACTTGAAAATAATACAAACAAACAAATATGTGACAGTCCTGAAAGAGGGATGTAAAAAAGTGGCAAAAAGAAATAACTTCATAAATAATTAAAATCCCCAACCTCGGCTGAAAGCTGAAGCTCAATCAGGTTTCTTTCCGTGTTTTGGCATGTTTACGCTATTGTTTTCTGCTCACACAGCAGATGGTGCCACACGGCACCGTTGAGGTAGGCTTTAAAGAGGATTGTTTCTCAGCCCGCAATGTAAGTCACAAAACAAAAAAACGCAAGCGCTGAAACCTTCAGAGAGGTTCTGTCGGTGCCGCAAAGTCTCGCAAAAGTAATTGTAATTGTGCCTGAAATTTTGCAATTACTGACGTTAGAAAGTAATTAAATTACAATTCCATCTAGCCAAAATTAATTATGATTACAAAGAAATTATTTAAATTAGTCATTCAATGACTGTAATGGAATTATTACTCAAGTATGAATTAAAGTACTCTAAATACTGTGTACTTTCAAAGTAAAGAGCTAGTACTTTTTAACACAATCTTTCACTCTCCTGCAGTCTTTTTTTTTTTTTTTAACTGGTATGCATTGTTCATGGGGTAAACGGGGGGCAGGGTAAGGCACTTACTTGTACCGGTCTTATAGCTGTCCTTACCGTACTCGGAGAAATGACCGGATGACATCTTGAAAGACAATAGCGCGTTTCCACATGATGGTATCCCATTTTTTGGGGAAGTTGACAAACTCTTATACTTGACCTCAGAAGTTGTGTATAGTAATGGGAAAGCAAAGGAAACGAGAATGTGGTCCTTGAAAAGGCTTCATTTCATAATGGAACAGCGCGAATTTTTGCAAGGACAGAAGAAGGAACTGGACAGGACGAGCGCTGTCCAGCATGAATCCATACCAACTCGCCCAGTTATCCTGTTTACTAAGGCTTCATTTCATTGAACCAAATTTGGGAAATGTACTTTGAAGTCGGAAGGTGTACTTTCCACAGAAAGTACCAGAAAAAATACTTATAAGTAAAATAAAAGTACATACTCAGAGAATGTACTTCAAGCAAAGTACAAGTTTCCTAAACCTACTTGAAGTAGTACTTTCAGTACATAGTAGTTAAAGCACTTCCCAACACTGCTGGTTACTGAAACACCACCTGGGTCCAGAACCAGTTTGGGCCCCCATTGTGATAAAATTTTACAATGTAAAACACAAAAATACAAAAAAATTAACAGAATGTGAGGCTAAAAAAAAAAAATTGCATAATGAAAAAAAAAAAAAAAGGCACACATGAAATAAATAATGCAATCATAACAGTGACGAGAAATGATTATGTGACTAGCAAAAGAGTGTCTCCACCACCGTCACACGAGCATGCGACGGCTGCCGTCGACAGGGTATCGAACCCACATTTTTTCGTTTGTTCCGGTTCTTGTTTCAGCTTAGAGCAAAGGGTTCAGGCCCGTTCAGCTCCGGAGGGAAAGAAAACGGTTTGAATCGGTCCATATTTGCATGAAAGAACTGAAATATATGCTTATTTTTATCAAAATGGTATGTATTAAAAGAGCAAAGCTGAAAAGAGCCAATATGCTTTATGAAAAGCAAGAAATTCAGGAAGTGTGTTGCTACCATTGTTTTGTCCTAACTTATTTTTTTATTGTGTCCAAACAATTTGACTACTACATATTTGGCATTGATAAGTGTACCACTAAGGAGGCGTCAAGCTGTTTGTGGGACACTCAAAATAAATAAATAAATAGATAAATAAATTGCGTGAAACAAGAACAGTGAGCGTGCTTTGAGCCATGTTGTTTACATGCTTCAGGACGTGTCACCATGTCACAGCTGACTTAAGTGTGGGTGCGCAAGTGTCCTCTTCACATACAGAGAAAGGTTTTTAAGCGCTAAAGCTTGTCCGAAAGCTCTCAAAACTGCTTAGGTTTTCCAGCCAAGCTCCGATGAAAACTTATAAATTACTCATATTATATTGCACTGCTTTTTTTAATGCATGTTCCGAATGCACCGTTTTTTCACGTAAAGCAAAATTTGCAAGGATTATTTTTTCAGTTTCTTATTGGGACGAGACAGATGATAGCATTTCAATTCAAATCCGACTAAAACTAATCTTTTCTTTTTTTTTTGTGGGGGGGGGGGGGGGGGTATTTTGATACCTTGCCTATCCACATTCTTCTAGATAGACATAACATCGATGTATAGTTTACTCAGAAGATATTCACTGTATAAGGACAGAACGAACAGGTTGATAGGGATAATTAAACTTGAGGAATAAAGCAAGGGACGGACAACCACAAACTTGGAAGTTTGCGGTTGTCCGCCCTTCTTCAAGTTCAAGTATTCACTCTGTTTTTTTAACTTTCGTTTTCCTTTTGCGCCCCAGGTGGCAGCGGGAATGGAGTACCTGTCGGCGCACCACTATGTCCACCGCGACCTGGCCGCGCGCAACTGCCTCGTGGGCGAGTCCCTCACCGTCAAGATCTCGGACTTCGGGCTCTCCCGGGACGTCTACTCCTCCGACTACTACCGGGTCCAGTCCAAGTCCCTGCTGCCGGTCCGCTGGATGCCGCCCGAATCCATTCTCTACGGCCGTTTCACCACAGACAGCGACGTGTGGTCCTTCGGTGTAGTCCTCTGGGAAGTCTTCAGCTACGGGCTCCAGCCCTACTACGGCTACGCCAACCAAGAGGTCATCGACCTCGTACGCGGTCGCCAGCTTCTGCCATGCCCCGAAGACTGCCCGCCGCACCTCTACGCACTCATGGTCGAGTGCTGGCACGAGGTGCCCAACAGGAGGCCACACTTCCGGGAGCTCCATGCGCGCCTCTGCTCCTGGCAGGCGCTGCACGCACGGAGCGCGAGTCTGAGCACGCACGGGAGCAACCACACAGGCTCGACCTCCGTGAGCCACAAGGGGGGCAGTCCACTCCTCGGAGCGGGCGTCGGAGCGGCGCCGGAGCGGCCCGTCACGCCACTGGGTGGGAGGCCGCCCCTGCTCCAGCACTTTGGGGGTGCCTACAACGCGATGGACGCCAGAGTGTCCAAGGTCTGACAGCTCCCGCGCACCTGCTACTTCGTGTGAACGCAGCATGCCCGTTCGGCCTCCGCGGTTGGGTCCGTCGAGACGTTTCCGTCGGTGCACGCGGGTCGTGCCTCCGACGAGCGACTACATGCGCGTGAAATTACTTCGAGGTGCGACCAGCTGCGAAAAAAGCCGGTTCTTCAAGGTCCTTCCACGGACCCTCTTAAAGAACTTCTCTGCATGAGTGTTTTGTTAAGCTGGTGGGAATGACGTTGAAACCGCTGGAAAGAGAGCGTTGAAGTACTCAAGCAGTGTTCCCACTCAAGAAGCACGGGATGCTGAGTGAATTGCCACGACGTCGCCGGTATTCGACGTTGCGAGCAGCATCTCAGAACCTGAGCTGGTGTGGTTTGTTTCTAAGAGACTTCAAGACGTTCGCTGGCTTCGAGGCGAGACGCACAAGGTCACAAAACTAAGCGGACACATTTTTGTATACGGCGCTACGCACAAGCGAATGCTCATCTAACCAAACCGAAATGACGATTTCTTGCATTTACCGGTGCGGAAATAATAGGGACGTGCTATCTCGACAACGTGCAGGTAAATTAAGACGCTCCGCCTATGGCGCAGAAATATACGTCGTTTCATCAGAGGACATGATGTTCATTTGCAATAAGAAACATGTTCCTACACCATATCTCTTCTTGGGACGCTCGAGAAAAAAAAAAAAAAAAAAAAAGGATGACGCTTGAGCAACACACATGTCCAGTAGTGGACACACCTACTTAGCTTACACCCTGAAGAAACAGTCTTGCTGTTCTCAAAAGGCTGTGCAACAAATTCCCGGGTGTTCCCACAAACCCTCAGCAACTGTGAACACCTTATCGTCAACACAGGTGTCTCTGAAGTACAGTTGCTCCCTCTCGGAACAAAACCACTCCCAACACCTAGGTAGAAGAATGTCCGCACCAAGTTTGCCATTGCAGTTTTGCGACACAAACGCACGACGTCGGCTGCATTGGCGTTGCGGTTAAACAACCCGCAGAGCAAGCTCAAATCCCATCGGCTTCGGCAAAGAGACTTAATTCGTGCCCGCTGCTGCTGGAAAAGCGGCGTAGTCTTTGCGTGTCGCAGATGCCTTCCTTTGCAACAAATGTCCTCGTGACGCGTGGGGTGCCCATATCACAGACACGAATCCGCAATACGTCGTAGTTTTGTTCAGGAGGCCTCCTTTCTCAACCAACGAATCTCGTGGAAGACTGCAGTCATCCACGTTGCGTCGTGTCCCCACGTGTGTGTGTGTTTGCAGGGATGTCGTGCCCCGCTCCCCGCATAGGCTGCCTCGTTGGTGTTGCATTTCAGCTGTGTTCTAGTCTCGCTTTTTAGGTTAATATAGTTATCGCCGAGCATGCCAAAGAAGTGTTCTTTACATCTCCCCCTTCTTATCCTTGAGGTGGCCGCACAAGACTTACCCCGTAGAGTTGTGAAAGACTGTACGCGGCAAGCGGGACTACGTAGGAAGACTTATAAGTTATTACGAGACAAGTGCACTACTGCCTTGCTGAAATGATTCAGATAGGTTTCATCTCTTACTAGGTACTGGATCAGTAAAACATCATCACCGTCAAACAATACATCAAGCGGTAAGCTGCCCTAACGAGAGGGCCATTCACATTTGCAGAGCATTTGTGCCAGGAATCAAGCGCCAGAGTTTGTTGAGTTTTGTACGGTACTATACAGGCGGTAGTATTCAGTGCAACTGTGATTGCAACTGTTCAGATGCAAGCTTCCTTAACGAACCTCATTAATTGAAACGACCCTTAGGAGCCACAAGCAATAACAAGCTTTAAAAAAATACACAAGGTGAAACATTGACGTGTTCGAAGACTGCCGTAAGATCGCCGTTTGAGAGAGCGCCCATCGTGCCATAAGGCGCATCTTTCGTACGCTATAATTTTCTCGCTCATCTGTCCGTAATCCACACTGCCACGTGTAGAGGCCACCTGGTTGTCCGACGCTCGCAAGCCATAAACCCGCGCTCACACAGCCACAAACGACTCTCGGCGACCAAGGTGTAGCCAGGAGTCGCAACCCTAGAGTCGTGAGAGCCGAACACGAAAATACCCTACGACGGAATGCCCCCGTACTAGTCTCCACCTAGTTCCACGTGCAGTGAACGCGCACCGCGGGTTACGTTAGCGGTGCTCGACACGGTCAAACGCAGGAAAGACATTACTGCGTGGCCATTGAGCGCTCGCGACGCAGTCGGATAAAGGTGCAGATGTCTTTTCTAACGCACAAGAGTCCGGAGCATACACGTAAAACATTATCGCTTGCATCTGCAACACATATCGCGACATCGAGCACCGGACCATCGCAAGCCCGTGTCCTACCGGGAGCCGTGGACTTGTCACCTGTGTGTGCATGCGTGTGTGCGTGTGTATGTTTGCTATGTTTCTATGCCGCCACCCTCCCCCTCCCCACCATCCCCCGCGGGAACCTGCGGAGAGGCGTTGTTTTTCCGACTTTTCTCCGCACCGTATCGTTTTTGTACAAAACAAAGCAAGGCGCCCGTAAGTGTATGTGACTTGAGTGTTGACTCTTTTATACGTAAAGATTAATAAAGTTAAGTTATGGTGAACTTGTGTGTGGGTGTTCATGCCTGCTACCTCGAAGCCTTCTGCTGATCTGAAGTGGGCTTCAAACCCCACAGGTTCGAAAAGTGTGTGCTGTACATTAGTGTTTGTTTAAAGAAGGCTCCATCCGGCACTACAAGCATGTGCTATGCGAAGGTGAAAATTGTTCATGCGGCATCTATACATCCATGTAGTGTGTCGTGCAAATTTTTCTTCAGTCAAATCCTCCTACTTGCCTAGTTTTGGTAAAATTAGTGAAGGACAAACGATCTCGCACGAAGCAAACACCGTTACTTTATTCTGGACAGAACTTGAAGGACAAAAGAGCAAGTGACTGAAATGGGCGGAGTCGGAAAATTCCCATGCAACTGTACAGAAAGGTAAGTGTCCTATGCAGGGCTTCATCTGCTTTCGAGTGATTTGTCTCTGACAATGACGGATTCCTCGAACTTGATCATGAACGTCGTCCCCTTGTACCAGTGAGCTGTCACTTTGGCTGGCTGCGAAAATGAGAAAAGCCACAATCAAACATTACCAAATGCAAGGCAGTCCTTCGCAGAAAAGCACGTAAGGTAGCATGGTAATCCAGTTGTGAGGGATTTTGCTATACCATCGAGGCATCGCCACAATACTCTTATTTTTAACGTCACATGTTCGGCAGAATAAAATTATCATTAGTAAACTATCTACGGGGTAGTAACAATGCTTAAAAGACAATAAACCAACTGCTCTGACCTTGACCAAAAGTAAAATTGTCAAATTTTGTTCTATGCCTTTCGAAAGTCGCTAATTTTAAACATTACCTGTGCCAGAGTTCTTAATATGCCACTTCTTTACGCCTGTAATTGAACACTTCATGCAAGCACCAATCGCTTTTTATTGATCTCTAACGACAAAAACCTAAAAATGAGCTTTTTTTTTAACACAAAACTGGGCTTTTGGAAGCGAAAAAGAGCCAGGCAATTGAGCGAACGGGTTCACAGTACGACTACTTGATGGTGCTATGGCGCATTGCTGAAGTATGATGGCGATAACAGCATTGAGAATTTACTTTGAGGTAAGAAGAGGAGTGAAGAAAGACATTTTGGAGAAAGTTGCAGAAAAGGAAGTTACATTAACGAGAAATGCTGTCAGTGCAATGATGCATCAGCGCAATCGTTTGGTGGTTTGTTCGGAGTAAATTCGAAATTCCGAAACCGCTTTCTGGTTGCCAAACTCCCAGCCGTGCTGGCTAGATTGGCGGCCCTTAGCCCCCTTGTCGACACTAGCGCCACTTCTGGTCATGTAGAAAGCTCTTTTATAGCATTGCAAAGGAGTTTCGTAACCAGTAGCGTATTAAAGGACTCTGCTTGTGCTTTGTATGCCTCTTCCAGTCAGTCTATAGACCTTTTCAGCAGCAGTCTCGAACGAAGCGATTTACAGCATGCGTCTTTGGTTTTGAGCGTGTACGTCGGTGTTGTCCGACCGCGCCAGGCTGTGGGTTTTCTCGTCGGTGGGCTGCAGCAGCCTGCGCAGGCGCAATTCCGGACGCTGGTGGCGGCTGCATTGTAGCGTCTTATTTATATTTTTGTGTTCTCCGGCGAATAGAATTTCTTAAGGTTTTTAAAAAAGCATTGTACTATTTTTGAGAACAAATACAAACAAATAAAAGCTATTTTTGATGGGTTCGTGCGCGACGGAACAATTGCAACTAGGATGTTTGTTCAATTTTATGTTGATTTGTTATGGCACCGTACACTCAGCCGTATCGATCTGCAAAAGTCTTAACTGTCGAAAATATTCGACCACAGAGGATAACCAAAATGCATCAGTATTCTCCGTGCACGACATGAAATTCAACGAGTCTCATCAATTAAACAACTTATATTGTATGTACACCCCCGTGCCACGTTATCCGAACAGGATTTGAGAAAGGTCTCAAATGATGCAGCATATTTAATAGTGTCGAGGACAGTCACTTCACGACGATCGGACAGAATCCTCCTTGTTTTGAGGCATGTTTTGAAGAGAGCTGCTTTTTTTGTACAACACCAAAGCAAATGAAAGAATGTGTCTATTCCGTCCCGATACCCCGGATCCGACCCTATCGGCTATTTTCCGCGAAGACTGGGAACATAGTCTGGAAGGCTTTTTGGAAATTATCTCAACCGAAACAATCCTCGGAGAACGTCAACGGCCCGGGTCGCGGGCTGCTTGACGTTCATTCTCTTCGTTTGTTTCCGGCAAAGGTTGAGCAGGCTACAAGCCCTGGTATTCCCTGCTTCTCAAAGTGGAAGATAACACAAAAAGGGAGAGCATGCTGAACACACAAATAAAGTAGAAACTGTCAAGAAAACCCGGTGAACTCCGAATGCACAATAAAGGTGGGGAGTCGCGGTGACTGGGTTTCCGCAACTCAAGCGGGTGGCAGAAATTTCTGGTCGATAGGGGTTGCTTGAGTCGCAAAATGGCAGCGGCCAGAGATCTCTTTATGCAAAGGACTATACCATCCACTTATTATCAATTTGTCTTGGACCACAAAGTTTAATTGCAGAATTTGACATTTCTTCAAAGAGCATGCTTTTCATACTTGGGGCCTCCGAGTATGCAACAGCAAAAACAACCTGCAGTACAACAGCAAGCAAAAGAACAAGCTCCTTCATACTCACGAAATTGCAGCCGATTAAAATGGCTTCGATGATGCCAGCGACAAATGCGGCGCAGTTGAGGCTACCTGCAGAATGTTAAAAAAAAAAGTGCCTCTCTCACTAAACGAAATACGCTTTGCTATAAAAAAATGTAATCATCATGCTAATCAAAGGCAGTGCTGGATTCAGAGGGGTGGTCTGAATGTTCTGATCCCCTCTTTGTAAAGTTTTACATAAACAGAGTTCAAGAAGGGGGCTCTTGAATTCTGCATGTGTAAAATTTTAGGGCAGTGAAAAGGGGGGAGGGCACAGGGGCGTTTTCTTAAAAATCTCATATGCCGACTCCCCCCTCTGGAAACACCTGCATCCACTCCTGCAAAAGTTTTAGGTCCCTGCACTGAATGGCACTCCATTTCTTTAATTTTATTTATTAGCCACATGCATCTAGGTACGAGTACCCTGTATTGTAACCAAACAAGTTCCAAAAAAAGAACTTCCAGAAGCGCATGACAGGGAGGAAGAAACCTCGGCTGGTTACACCACTTGCAAAAGACTATTGAACAACTCACCACGATCCTTTGGAACGGATATGAACTTGATCACAAGCGGTTCCTTCTCGATCAAGTAATCTTAAGCGGGAATCAAGGATACCACTAATGCCACTGGAATTATGAAGCATACAAAGAGAGCATACTTTGTGCTTTGCAGGCTCTAGTCCAATCGTAGGTCACCGTCTAATGAATAAACATGAAGCGCATCACCCTGATGGCTCAAGGAAACTCTAGTCACTTTAAGACAGTGGTGTTCCAATTAAACTGTTTTTTATCTTTAATTTTGTTAATACAAAAACTGTGGGAGAGTCTGGCTCATTCACCAGTTCACTCTGGCACGGCTCGGCGATATCTGAACTGCGAAAGTAGCCTTCACGGCCAACACTTTATGTCCGTTTTTCCCTCTCTAAATGGAAGCAGGAAACCAAGCCAAATCTGAGGACCCCCCATCAAACCTAATGAACATTCATATTGTATATTACTTCGTCCCAAGATATTTATGCGAGAGGAATTCTGTCTTTCTTTCGCTCAAGAACACCATGAGAGAAACAGTTGTCACCTCAGATGAAAAAGTTTTTTTTTTGGGCCAACCTTTAGGCATAAGAATGGTTCAAGAAAATTTGGGTCCCAAAAGAAAGTCTATCTTGAGAACCGGTGGTCTAAGTTCTTTAAAATTAAGCTTAGTTCTTTGAGGAAGCAAACAGCAAAATGTAACCGTGACCAGGATACATGTCCTGTCATCCTCGTTGGCTTGTTCAAGCTTGTCCGCCTCTTTTCCAAACAGGGTCTGAAATTAAAAGACATCTTTGGTAGCATTAGTGCACAAAGACGTAACAGACATCTTTCTTAAGGAAGCAGGATCACCTTCCACACGGAGGTCTTGATGAACAGAAGGATGTTGAGGAGTTTTGTCTCCCTCTTGTAGTTTTTCTCGCGCACGTGCAGAAGGTCAAGAATTCTCTGTCCGACGTGAAACCCAAGTTCCGAGAGTCTACAAAAAATAAAAAAGCAACATAAACAACAAACATTATTATAAGGGCTGCAATTAAGGTAAGCACCAGACACCAAATGGTGTGTTGTTCTGAAGAGTAGACAACCGTTGGTTCAGCCTACTGATAACAAAATCTGCACGTGAAAATTGAGTGCAGGGTAGGCGAAAACTCAGGCACAGTGCCGGGCCCGAGTTTTCTCCGGCTGGACGAAGTACAAACCAAAAGTGCATATTCCTCTCACTAGGGCTTAGAGGGAAACTGTTTACACTCCTGGCACTATTCTGCTGTGCCTGTGGAATACTGCCGGGGACCACGCTCTGCAGTATTCTGCAGAGACTACGGCCACCGTGGGACAGGGTATTCCCTGGACGCCATATTTGAGGTGACTGAGCACAGCCCATGCTCGGGAGGAGCATGGGCTGTCTTCTCAACCGGACTCTTCTTTGAGAATCCCAGACTTGCCCAGAAATCGCTATTCTCCCTCTAGAAGATTATAGAAGATTAACCCATCTCTCAAGGTTGATACAAAAGCAGCTTTCCCCTCTCTCACTCTCTCCCGTGGTGGTGAGAAATGAATGTGACGTCAGTGCAAGGCATGTGGGCGTGTTGGAAGCGATGTGGAAGCTTGCCGTCAGTGCATGCTCAGAAGCAGCGAGCTCAGTTATGGCCATGAGGGAATACCACCTACTCTACCAGGCAGTTTTCATGCAAAAGCAGGCACATAGAAAACAAACAATCAAGACCAGTTCAGGTAAAACGTAACCAGGTATGGGTACTACAAATCGTGTAAAAAGCTGCTAAAGTATAGCACGTTCGAATCATGTTTTCGAGTAGAGAAAGTCGCTACCCCTCAAAATAGGGGCGGCACCACGAGATGTAGAGTGACGAGGCAGTGAACAAACGAATTCGACTTACTTGGTTTGCAGCTCAGCGATCGTGTACACGCGATTCTGGCAATACTGCACGATCTCTGAGAAGAGAAGGCCGAATAAACTCAGGTGAATCTGAAAATGATAGTTCTGTCAAAGCTTTCCATACACGCAAAAGAAAAAAAAAAAAAAAAAGAGAAAATGGGCTCAGCCTTGGCGTTGCACCCCGGATTCGTCGGCAGCATTTCCGACGGGTGCTATGTGCAGTTAGTACTTACGTCGGTTTTGTTTTTACTCAGGGGCTTGTCCAAAATGCTCACTTTGTTTCGTGAGCTTGACATTGTCGAATGTTTTGTGCACACCGTGATTAAAATCACGATCCTAGTGACATATACAACACCACAAACAGGCGACAGCGACAGCCGCCATATTTGCCAGTTACTTTGGTTGGATGGATGTCAGATGGATGTTAATTGCTATACCCTTTGTAACAGGCGGTTTCTTGCGCCATCTAGCGTAAGTCTAAAGGACAACCTTTTTGCCCTGAAAATGACGTAATGCCAGGAGGTGGCGTCCGTCCCTATCCCCCCAATGCATGGAGCGAAGTGTAACGGAAGTAGGCGTGGCCACAAACCGCAACGAGCATTTCTTGACCAATGGGAAGCCTAGTGAGTGGGCGCCGCCATTAATTTCGGTGCAAACAACCGCGTTGCCATGACATTTCCGTGGCAACGCGACTGTGTGCACCGAAAGTAATGGCGGCACCCACTGTTATTTGAAACAGCGCTTAAAGGGGCCCTGCAATGACTTTTTGACTGGTTTTTAATTTGCACTGAACCTGAGCGTACTGAACGTAGTAACCTAATCCAACTTTTCTTTTCTCAAATTTCGCTTTATTTAAAAGTTATAGGCGAATTGGAATTACAAAAACAAGCAAAAATAACCTCCTTCATGACGTCTTAGGTCCTGCCTTGAGTGGCCTTGAACTAGAGGAGGAGTAGTGAGCTCATCGGGCGCACACGGCTGCCGCACTCCGTGTCGACGGCTCGAGAGGGCGCCACTAAAGCACGTGTTGGATAGGCTGTATGAAGCGGGCGGCCAGGGCAGCTCGTATTTCATTTGCAGCGCGACTAAACAGTAATTCGGCATAACATTTCATTGGCCACAAACGACAGCAAACACGGGGTAAAGATCAGTTCAGAACGGGAGCCACTTCGCGCTGACGCACCGCCAAATGGCCAAATCGCCAGCAGGGCCCGCGCCGAAGGCCTTCGGAACGCTCGGAACCGGTCGGATTCTTGAGCCGGTATACGACCACAGCGCCGCCGCGTACATCCGGGACCTTTCTGCGCTCCTCGTTTTGTCGTAGCCTCATCCCACTAGCCTTTTCTAGTATGCGCCGTTTTTTTCCGCCGCTTGGTGGCGGGTATGTCGACGGGTCATTTCTCGTTTCCGTACTTTCTAAACTGCATTTGTTTCTTTTCTGATCTAAAATAGTGAACAAAAACTACTTTCATACATAAGTGAAACGGTTCGCGACACCTATATTTTGTATCTCGACTACAAAGAAGCTCTTAGCGGCTTTGACCAGTGGCAAGCCCAGGACCAAAGACGTCACATTTTGCGCGCTTTCGGTACCGCGGGTCGCCCTCGTCGGTGGAGGAGGTTTCCGCGTCGTCCGGTTAAAATATGACGCACTGGTATTTAGTTACTCTCTCCGTGCCCGCTGGCTTGCCCCAACCCCAAGAAACGTGGAAACCGCAAAAAAGGTAGACGCTTAAATATGATTGCAGGGCCCCTTTAACGGGAGACTTTTAAACCGGTATGGTCGGAATTGGATGAGATTATTATAAACGAACGCCTGGTTGCCCAGCAGAAAGTAAGTGACTAGAATTGAGACGGCTCTAGACGACGCACCGTGAAGGACTTGGCGGTGCGCAATGTATTTTTTAATAAACAGCAGCAGCAGGTCGCACGAGCGCGCATGCAAGCCAGGAGCGCACAGAACAACGGGCTCGCGCTTCCAGTTCTGACTTCGCTCGCACATAATGTGGAACTAAGTATAAACACTCACGCTGCAAAGCATTTGCATCGTGGACGCCCACGGCGGACGCCGACCGCACCGAAAGCTAGCCTCGGGAAGCACACGCCGGAGCAGATTAGAAAGCAGACGAACCACCGGTGCGCTACCCCACGGCCTCGGAACGGGAGCGCAAGGCAGTCTGGGATTAAACACCTCTTCCGGCTTCACTCAGGATGACGTCATGCCGGGTCCTGTCTGTTTAAACGCCCTTGCGTAATGCCGACGCTGGTGGCGACACCTAGCGTCGGCTCACGCAACACCAGTTTGACGTCATGTATGTGACACTATCTTGCCATTATTTTCACGGGGAACTCGTGACGACTTATCATCTTGACATCATGGGTGATGCTAAAGCTTGCAGTCGTCGGCATCAGTGCCCGCCATTAAAATTTTTGAGATTTCTCATTCTTTTTACAGAAACAGAGCTACACTTTGAAATGCTATGAAATAAAACCTACCTCTTAAGATAATGGACCTCTTGGCGAATATGTGCTGCCACCTGGACACGCGACTGGGTTCGAGGCTAAATGGCGCGAAACAAACGCGCGCGCAAGGCCTCTTCCACCCGTTCCACACCCAAAACGTCAGCTACATCCTATTCACCCATTGAGGCGCTGTGACCTAGATACGGCTCCCTCAAACCCGCCTTTGTCCCCATCCTGCGCAATCTTCCGCCCCGAAGTCGACACATGGAAACCGCCTTCCCTCTCTGCTCGGCCAGAAGGAAGAGAGAGAGGGTACTGGAACTATTTACTCTCGAACCGATATTTCTACAAAAGGTCCATTATGACAAAACCTTCGGCTGGCTCAGCAGAAGCGCCCCATTTCTTGGGACATCTTTATTAAAATCAAACTATTTGCAGTGTTAGCCAAGTCTGCTTCAGCCACAATGGTTACATATCATGGAGTATCCTAAATTAGACCAGGCAACAGAATATTGTTTGTACAAGGATTAAATTACCCAAAGTCTCTCAAGATGTCCTTTTTATTAAAGTTCATGCAACCATAAAACCAATATTAAAAAAAAAGATGGTACATTTCTTAACTATACAAGCACGATATATACACTTTTATATTACATCAAATTATTCCCGATGAGAGTGGCTTTCTCTGCGTTTATGCTTCCTGGACTTCTTACTCTTCTTGTGCTCGTGCCTGCGTCGCGGAGAAGAGCTCGATGCTGACCTGTGCACAACCGATCCAACCACGCTGCGCAGCTTTGGCGGCCTGACCTCCGCTTTCTTCTTCCGGGCTGCCCTTCTGTGACTGGACGACGAAGTGCTAGACCGGCTGTCCGAATCACTGGTCCAGGAATCTGCGCTTACAAATGAAACTGCTCTTGTCCTAGGTGGTGTTGCCCTAGGTGTCGATGGCAAAGGCTCTCTTGGGGACGCCGGAGGCAGATCAACTTCAAAAACACTCTCTTCGGCAAGTCCAGTAGCCTGTTCCTCCGACACCACTGTCTCCTCGTGCAGAGGATTCTGAACGCTCGTGTCCTCGTCGTCGTCCGAGGAGGACAGCAGGCTGATAACAACGGGTGTTCTTTCTCCTGGCTTAACGACACTGACGACGATGCAGTCGGAACTGTCCGAGTCACTATCGTCTGCCACGGGCGCCGCGATGACCTCTCGTGCTTGCCTGGACACCATGCCGCTTGGACCTGGCCGCGGAGAACTTTCTCGAGGTGTGGCATTCGAAACCAGCTCGGCAGCCCTCCGCTGACTCTCTGCAAGCTGACTCTGGTACCGTTCGACGGGGGTACCTCTTGCCAGCACGCTAATCGCCGACCCGTACAAGGTGTTGCGGTCATAGTTGACCATGTCGTGCACCGACGTCGCGAACGCATAAAACTCGTGCACGAAGTGCTGAGTGCGCGATCCGAACGACGGGTAGAGGTGTCGAGAGAAGTCGGGGTGCCGGATGTCCACTTCGCTGATGAGGGACAGCACAAGCTCCAAGACAGCCGTGATGCGGCTGCTGCTCCCGCCAAGAAGTGCGATGAGCTCACGGTTCAGCCAAGGAATGAGGCGGTGCACACAGGCAGGGTTGTCCCGGTAGAACTGCGGCGAGGCCTCCCGGTAACGCGTCGGGTTGTTCGACACCCAGAGGTCCAGGTCGTACAGGTATCGGCGCTCCGCACTGGTTGTCGTGAGGTTGTACCTGCCGACAGGTTCGTTCTGCATCATGCCAGCCCTCGGCACTCGGGAAGCGCTAGTGGCCCGTTGGTTCGAACTCTGCAGGCTGCGTTCCATGGCAAGCTGGTGCCTGCGTTCTGCCGTGAGTGTCGTAGGGAAGCGGAACCTCCGCCCGTCCGGGCCGTCGCCAGAGAAAGACGTTGAGTAGAGACTCCTGGTGCGGTGCTGTTCCTCACTCAAGAAGTACTGGTCGTAGTCTTCGAGGGACCGGACGCTGTGGATGATGCTCTTGAAGCGCTGCTTGCACAGCGGGCACTCGGGCTTCAGCTTGGCCCATTCCGCCAGGCAGCCGAAACAGAAGGTGTGGAAGCAGGAGTCGGTGAACGACTTGTTTTCCGGTTTGCCCAGACAGATGGCGCAGGTGTTGTCGGGAGACGAGGAGTCCCGGCTGGACGGGCGCTCCGGGCTCGCCTCTCGGGGCTCTAGCTTGGATATCGGGCGCTCCGCGTTGCCCCCGCTGCTCCCTCCGACGGCGGCGAGACCGTCACCTCCCGTGGCACGCGCCGCGGCTGTCGACATGCTGATCGGTTGTTCTTGTCGGAGTGCTAGCCGTACAAGTGCCACACTCCACCTGGAAATCGAGATGCCCCATGAGTTAACCGCGAAGACGTCGTGACAAGTCACGCGTAGCTGAGACGTCGGTCTTGGTGACGCGAGCATGATGGAAACGGGAGTATGGTTCAAAAGCGAATTCGAAGAGCCACCCGCCCAGACAGCGGTTGAGCTAACTACACACACAGTTGTATTGGCGGTACAGCGTAAGGCACAAATGTACTCGGTACTAATTGGAAAGTCACCTTGAAAACTGCCGAAAGTTTTGTTGTATTTTGTTCTAATAACTGAAGTCGGTAACAAGAAAACACAATCGCATAATCGCCTGCGGGTACTTGGAAAGATTAACTGCGCAGACGAGCCTACCTGCGGCGACGACAGCCACTCTTCACCGGTGTGCGCTATCACCTTTCCTGGATAAAGTTGATTAGCCGATGTTCACACCACCTTCGAAATTAACCTGGTGCGTAAATTCCAGGGCGAATATATACAAATTTGACACTACCCGTGATTTTGACCAGTAGCCATCTTTCTCTTCTGTTCAACTCCTATCCAGTCTTGACACGGATCCGGATATTCGGGGAGCCAAAAATCCATAAGTATTCACACACTCACACACTGACGGTACAACACTACGACGGTACCTTCGATCTGGAAGCATCCAGATATTAGGATAATTGTTTTAAATATAATTTACACTTACAAACGCATTTATTTTTTAAAATGTCAGTGCTCTCAAATTTTGGTGTTTTTCTTAATTGTTTCGTTATTTTTAGCGGTTTCTCCAAACCACCAGTTTCGTCGCCTTCTCACCCCCGGTCACAGTCCCAGTTTCGCGGCGCTGACATTAGCGTCGCCACCATCAGCGGCGCTGTGCATAGCGTCGCCACCGGCAGCAGCGCTTAGGTGGTGGGGGGCTCTCATTAATACAAAAATACAAATATAAAACTTTGTCCGCTAACAGTAATTTCAACAAAAAGTCTTCACCGCACCATGAAAATAAAATGCAATTTATTTTATATATTTCTTTCTGTTCGTTCTGTTTTCGGTCTAAAACCAAAACTCTAAACCGACCCGCTGGCCTCGCCGGTGCCCTGGAAGGCGCCGCTGCCCCCCCCCCCCCCCCTTCGCTCTACCCTCGCCCAAATTTGAAACTTCGTAACGGCGGACGGCGGCGTCGCGTGGTTTTGTTTACCCAAGGGTCGTGCGAGCGTAGTTTCGCGCTCCGGCGTTCCGCGCGCCTGTCGAACTCGATGGATATTTTGGTGCGAACTTTCAGAGACTGTTGAGAGGTGCATTTTACGTGGCCATATCCCGATGGTGCACGAACAGCGCAAATGCCAAGACCACAGGTTTTTGTTTGTTCATTTTTTTTTCAAGATAAGGCAGGTGAGTATGTATCTCCCGTACTCAGTTTTATTTGCTCAGCGAACTTACCATTAAACTTCTGCTGCCCATAGCTGTTAGTTTGCAGGCTCGTTCTCGCAGTAAAAACATATGCTTTCCCCCGAACAAGTACGGTTTTAATGAAGTTAATGGTATACACCTAGCTCCACTTCGATTTGTGCACAACTGCTTATTTAAAGTGTAACAATTAGGTTTAATCTTGAAAATGGTCTTTGGCGGTCCTCGAACAGACGGAGGATAATAAAACAAAAGAATGAGGCTTCCTATATATTAATTTGAAGTTTCATTTATTTCTGCATGGTTCCGGGTGCGACAATGGCATTATGTCATTAGTTTGTTCGCTGTAGATGGACATTTGTTTTGTTTTAAATCAGTTTAAAATTTTAAACATCATGACCACATTGTCATTACAGATGCTGGGACATATAGAACGAGCATTTGAACGTCGTCTCAAGGAGGAAGAAAGCTTCGGACACTTCGTGGCTCCCAACAAGTTATCCAGCCTGTTGAGTGCCAACATTTTTCGAAGCTTTATTTCACATTTTCATCTTGCTTGCGCGAGAAGCTTTGAATATGTAAAAATGAAGGTAATGATTGCTGGGGGCCACCTAAGTAGCTTATATTTCTTAAATCAGTGAACAACTTTACTTTCAGTGAACAGCTGATCCAACTTGGCATGTTGAATGCGTAATTATGTGGGTCAATGTGTACACTTGTAAAGATATATGTTAGTGACCATTCCCAAGAAGTGATAGTGATAAAGTTAGTGATAAAGCCCATTCCCAAGAAGGTGCGCGGCCAAGCATGTAATAATGAAGTGATGAGATCGTGCACAGATGACAGAGAGGTGCTGGCGATGTGCAACTGCAGCTGTGGGCGAGGTTGACGAAATGATTTTGCCAATGTTTTATTTTTGCGCGTATGCAGGTGCAGTGCTGTACTTAATTCCGTTTTAACATCTGTGCAATAAATGTGCCTCGAAATATTTCGGTCGCAGCTGTGGATTCCTTACTGGACGGCGGGACGCCTCGAAACAGAAGAACAACGAACACACATGACTACGCACCTTATACAGCTGAAAGCGAAATCGCACATCGTATATTACGTTAGGGACTTTTAGCGAACTGTTACCGTGTTCCGCGTACTGCACTATCGGAGCCTTTGAAACATGCTTTATAGGCGCGCACCCGGAGTGATACCGTGACAGCGGGGCGCGCACTTAAAAGCATGCTTCAAAGGCTCCGATAGTGCGATACGCGGAACACGGTTTGTTAAAAGTCCCTATTATTACACTACCGGGACCGGGCGTGATGCTCAGGAGCCTGGATCCAGGCTCCAGCACGACCCCGAAGCGATCCATACGAGAACCACCCTACAAAAATAAAAAGACGCCATGTTGGATTCTTTACGGCTTGGCTTAGAAACGGCTTCAAAGTAGGCTACTACGTCCCAAACGTGTATATAGAAGTCGTTTTGAAAAGTAAGCCAGATATTTTATTAATAGCATGGTTAGCTCTTAATATAATTTTACAATTTGCCGAATATAAAATAATAAGTTAACTCGTTCAAGTAATGAGAGCCCCCCACCACGGACGAGGAATTCGGCGCTACTGTACAAAACTCGACTCCATTGGCCCTATGGAATCCGTCCGGGGGTTAGCCTTCTCAAGTAACATTGAGACGCCAAGATGGCGGCCGCTGTCTGGAAACGCGCGCCGCTTGCCTAAAATTATGCTTTAAATGATGCTAACGGACGTCTTGTCCTAGGCTCTAATCACATTAAAACCCTACGTCAGCGGCAGAATTCGTCGTCAGAGAACCGCGACCATGACTGACGTCCGCGTATCCCTTCGCAAGATCGAATTCCCGACGGTCATCTTCGAGGCGCTGCGGCAAATGCAGAAACTGCTGTCCAACGAAGGCCGCAGTCCGACCTACGCCCACGTCGCCAAGGAGATAGCTGAAGAGTTCATCTTCCAGGACTTCGACCAGCGTCGCCAACCGCCTCATCACCACCACCACCACCACCCGTCCCAACAGCCGCCTCAACTACGCCGACGCAAGATGTCGGCCATCCGAGAGCTCCAGATCATCGAGATCATGGCGAGTAGCTTCCAGTCTTCAAGACCGGACATGTGCCAAAAAGTCTTCTTCATCCTGTTCCCGTCGGCGGACCCGGCCGTGATGGACACTAGGGTGCCCATCCTGTCCCGACTGGTGTCCCTTTCCATTGCGCTCAAAAGCCACAACGCACTCAACTGCGTCGGCTTCTGGATGCACGTCTGCGGATGCACGTCCGAACCGTCGCTCCACATCGTCCGCCACGTTATCGGAGACTACCTAAGCCTAATTCCGAGTTCGGCCGAAATGCTCAAGGACCTAGCCGACATATCGCCGCTGTTCTGCGCCAGCCTAGCCACGTCTTTGACCCACATGACTCCGACCAACCCTTCGGTGGAGATCGTGGATCTCCTGGCGTCCTGGGTACGGGCGCAGCCTCTGCTCTGCTTCACGCCCATGGAAGCCATCCCGCCGCAACTCTACAGCCAGTGTCTGCAGACGTTCCTTCCTGGACTAGTGGCCTGGTGCGTCCTGGCGCCCATTGGGTCCGTGGACTCAACGGATCCACAAGCCGAACTCTACTCTTACCTTCACTATGCGCTGCTCGAGATGCTCATCAGGGCAGGGCAGGTGACGCCGAGGGCACCCATCGTGTTCCCGTTTTTGCCGAGTCACTATGTGGTCCAGGTGGCTGAGACTCTGAAGAGGGCATCGAGTCCCAATTCCAAAGGCTGGGATCTCGCCCTCAACAGACTGGCACAGGTCTTGCAAGCTGCGTTCGCGTCTAAATGCGTCCACGGGAATCTGGAGCCAATGTTCCAGACTTTGAGGCAGCTGCCTTCAAATCGGCTGCTGCGGATTGTGCTGTCGCGATGGGACAACAAGAAATTCTAATCTGTTGAATGGTTGTGGGGAGTGCACTGCCAGGCTTTCCAAGCTGCCTTTTTAGTGTCGAAACATACGAACCAAGCCTTTGGTGGAAGCTCGGAGTGATTGTACGAGATTTGTTCTTTGCTGGGACACTATGTAGCTGCCCGCCGCAATGACATCTAACACTGTCTGCAATTCACATGCCCTCTGAAGTTTTCCGGCAAATCACAAGTGTGGGTCATGTTGTTAGTGTTTTGTTATTTGCATTCACATATACAGGCTATATGGCTCTTAAAGTGTGAATGTGCCATGGGTA